AAACTCAGAAGCACCTACTAAAAGTCAAGTCCTGAAATGGGGACAGAATATTACCAGTTCAGACCGGTATTGACATTTACGTAGGTCGCCATTCGAAGTGATGACATGCATGTACATGTGTCTGATTCCTGGAAAGTTTAAAGTACATCATAGTGTCATGTCTATTGTTTTACTTAGTGATCCAGCAAGCATTTCCTCAGCCTATTTATTAGGTATGCCATTAAATCTCCTTTAAAATTATATGCATACATAGTCCCTGCCAAGTTGAATGCCATACACTGGTAAGAGATACTTATGTATTATGCACAGGTATGCATGTTGTCTTATCTATCATATCACAGTGTTCTCTGTATGAAATAGAATGGTTTGTCATATGAAATCTACAATGCAATTGTACACTTTCCAAACAGATTGTCAACGCTTTTAAGATAGGAACCTAGAAATCTGTTCTGAATCTCTTACTACCTATGTAAAACCTAAATTAAACTACATGGCTGGATAGGACCACAATAATATCGTTAATAAGTCCTTATTACATTTAATTGTGTGGTGATTAATGCCATGACATTTTGCCTTTCACAATTCACATTTTCACCAGTGCTATCTGGCAACTGCCCCTACCATTCCAATAAAAATCACTTCAGTAATAGCTTCCTACTAGTTAATTCCTAATGATATTTTCCATTCTATTCCAGGCCAGATCATACATATTTGAAAACTGTGCAGCATTTGATGCCCTGGTCTAGCCCAGATCATTTTTGCTTGAATTCTTTGATCTCACTTTGTTCCACATGTCTTCTTACCTCTTAAGTCACTTAATCTCTCACTTGAGCTTCCTTTTGCTGTTCCTGGCATTCTGCTCTTTCTGTTTCTTGATGCTCTCTTGAAGAGCTCATTATTCTGTGGTTTCTGTTGTACACCCATGACTGATCATCATTGCTTCTCCACGGATAACTTCTCTGAATGCTGGACCCAGATACTCCCATCTCCTCCACTTTGTCCAACAGAGTTGTCCAATGGATTTGTTACAAACTGACCTCATCACTCACTACTCCCAATCGGCAACCCCCTTCCCATCTCCCACAGAGAGTGTACTGCTCTCCACTTTGTTATCCAAGTGAGAAATCACCCCCTTCTCTGAACGCTGAATGTGTTCTACTGATCCCATCTCATCACCCCTGTGCTGTGCTTTTCTTACCTCAATATTGCCATTCCTTGAGCTTTCATATTTGCTTAAACATTCTCGAAGTCAGATCGCTCATCAACTGACTTGTAAGGAAACCTCGCTTATTTCCAATATGCGCTTCCAAATTCTTGAATCCAGTTTGGCCAGGTAGTGGTCATGTCTGTAAAATGCTCTAGTTTTTACATGTCTGTCTAAGTCAGGGTTTTCTGTTTATATTTTCTGTGGCATGCCATGTTCTCAGTTTACATTCTGTATGTTTTCTGTGCCTTTTAGCAGAGCAGGGTGCACTTTTAGTTTTCAAATAGAAATTAATAAAATGCCATGAAACTTCAGGTATCACATAGACCCAGCACCAAAGGTACAGGAACATTGATTCTCCGTGTGGGCCGTTCGCACATGAGCTACCGTGTATTTCGGAGTTGAATTCCATCGAAAAGCATGGTTCATCTGCGGTGTGCTTTCCTGTTCATGTAAGAATATGGCAGTAAGATGGAAATGGTTTGCTGAGGTCTAAGACCTCCTCATGGCCTTTCTTCTATCCTGGGTCAAATATCAGTGTCTGTCTTGATCTCTTTGTGATCTAAATATCCAGATGAAATCATCCACCATTCTATGCCTATGTGGGCACAAAGAAATTATTGTGAACATCTCTTTAAAATAATGAATTCTGTGTCTGTGTATGTTTTAAAAGTCAAGATGATTCAATGATGAGGACATGGTTCCAAACATGAGTAGAAGACCACTTTTATGGCAGCACTGAGAAAATACTTTCTGAATATTCAGATATAAAGGGGTTAATTATGATAGCTAAGTGGTACAACATAAGTAAACAATCTTCCCAAATTCCATTCAAATGGAAAACTATACATTAGTTATTGTCAATAAGACATCACGGCCACAACATATGATTTATTAGACAGTATTATACTGCCCAAAAGACAAAACAGTAAAATCACACTGAAGACAGTTGACTCAGAATGAGGAATACATTTACCAAAAAGTAATAATTTTAATATATGCAAGAAGTTTGAAAATGATATTTAATTGTCAGTTATAACTGGAAAGATTAAAATGTATTAATTTGATACAGCTTTTAAAAGATGAATTAGCATTTCCCACCTTCACATTTTCTCTGAGCGTGAACATTTCAATAGTATATGGCGGTATGCCAATTCCAAGAAGTTCTTTAAAATACATCTCCAGGAAACTTGTTCAGTGTATTTCTTTAAAACACATTTCCATGATTGGAAAGCCACCTAACTGTGTATCGCTACACAGAATTCCCTAACAATTTAATGGGATATTTATTTTTGAAGTGGATTTTTTTTCCAGTATGACTGTGAGATATGCAATATATTAATCCAGCACCAAGTAAAATTCTCTGAAATGATAGATTGATTATCTAGTGGAATCACGTGTCTCACACATTTTCTAAAACCTAGTTGACATTAGCCAAACAAAAATGTTCCTTCTCTGAAATTTAATGTCAGGATTATTTTATTTTAATTACAATTGACATTCTCCCATAATCCCAGCACTATGGGAAGCTGAGACAGGAAGTTATCTTGCGACCAGTAGTTTGAGACCTGCCTGGGCAACATAGGCACCTATCTCAACAAAAAAACGAAATAAAGAATTAGCAAGCATGGTGATGTTCACCTGTAGCCCCAGCTACTCAGAAGGCCTGAGCCCAGGATTTTGAGGCTGCGGTGAGCCCTTATCATGTCACTGCAGTCCAGCCTGGGCAACAGAATGAGACTCTGTCTCTTAAAAAATTAGTATTTTTCTAACCGAACTCAATAAGCATTAAAGAACGTAAAAGTATTATTTCTTCATTTAAAATAGACATTCAGAATTTAAACCAGCATATGCCACTCTGGATATTTTGATATTCTCTAACGTGTTCTAAATATGTTTTGTTCACAATTATACCAAAGTAACTAATATTGGTAAATTAGTCATATTTGTAATAAGATACTTTTTAAGTCATTATTTTCAGGTTTTTTTTTCTTTTTTTCTTTTTTTTTGTCTAGAACTAGTCTTAAAAGAGAAAGGATTGAAAGAATGCCACTTAACTGTAGAATGCTTCAGGAAAATAAAATCTCTCTTCAATTAAATCCTTTGAAATAATCTATGCATAGCACTTTCCAAGCCAAGGCATGGGTTGTTTCATTGCATCTTATGCTGTGACAAAGTCCTATAATTAGCACATTGATGTAATTTACCACTGTTTCATTAAAGCTGATTGCCTAACTATTTGGGAAGTTAACATGGCTACTTGAGTACTTGACCTGTCCTTTTTTTTCTATGCTACAGCTGTTAGTAGGAAGTGAGCAAAGGCATTCATTGCTGACAGTCATAGAAATCATCTTGGTAAAGGTTATCATACAAGACAAAGATGGAGTTTCACTCTGTGCATCCTCAGACCTTTCCATTTTTAATTGGTTTGGTTTTCTGATGAGACCTCAAATGACAGAACAAATATTTGACAGCTAAATTTTTACCAATTTAAAAAGTGAACTCATATTTATTTAACTTACATTGTTAATCATTTGTCTTTTGAAAGTCTGATTTTTAAAAGTGTAATGCATTAAAGCAGTGTGTCCTTGAATTTAAGAGAGTCTACAAGTTGTGCAGAAATGGTGAAATCCATTTAAACGGCTTGAGGTAGGGATAAGAGGTAAATAATAGTTTATTTTAAAAAGTAGATTAAGTACAGTCACGTTGTCAAGAGTAACCCTCTTCTGTGTCTTTGGCCACCAGTGAAGAGCTGTGTACAATTATATATTTTACTCTTTAGCAACCCACCCCCAGCTATGGGACATGACAGATCAGTCAGCAGGGTACTCTCAAGTTAGGGTAGTAGGATGATCAGAGAAAAATCCAGACTTGAATAGGAGCACCAGTACCATAAACCCTTATAAAAGCCGTGCTTCAGATCAAGAGGGAAATATATAGAGGTTCCCTACTACATGCAGTCTTCCGATAGTTTTAATACCGAAGTAGTCGCTAACACCCTTGTCTGAAAAGAGCATTTAGAAAAGAACAACACACACACACACACACACACACACACACAAAAAAAAAAACTTGTTGAAAATTCTGCATAAGCAATTTACATCCTGACAGAAGAAGGATGGGGTTTATTCTCTTTCATAATCCTCTGTTACACGCTTGCAATATGCTGCACATTAAGTAACAGGTTTTTGTTGCTAAAATTAAAGTGGTTTTCTATAGGAGACACCTTAGGTAAAATTGTCAATGGAGACCAAGTTTATTTCCATTATTTTTAATTATTTGCACAGGACATAAATATGAAAATAAACTTCTTGCATTTAGTTGTGGAGACTTTTTAATTTGAATATTTCATCCTTCCTAGAAGTTTCTGGGGTTGATGGGACCTTCATCCTGGGCCCTCTGTCCCTTAAATTATTCTTAGTATGATGCACCTCCCTGTAGCCCTCCCACCATCCCCAAAAAAAGAGTCAGAGGAGAAGTGGAAACCTTAGTAATCTTAGTATTTCCATCTCTATATTCCTAGAAATTTCAATGTTTAGGAATTAAAGGAAAAGACAGGAGGGAAAATGTTTTGGAGCAGGAGACAGGAACGGTAAGAAATGCACAAGATGTTACTAAACAGTCATAGTAAAAATAGTATTAATAATTATTATTATAGACGTTTAGAAAAAGAAAAATAACACCCCAAACAGTAATCAAACCACAATATCATGTACTATGGTGTATCAATTAAAATGAATGGGAATTACATGCAAATGCCTCAAATAAGATACCTCAAATAAGAAATGTAGAATACCTTTCCACTGATGATTTTTAGTTGTCAGGGCAAGTGAGACCCAAACAGCAGACAGAATGGTCCCAGCATGCTTGTTGCCTTTTTTTGTTTGCACAGTGGCTGTCAGTTCCAGCCTTACAGGTAGTGGAACCCAGCCGGAAGAAGGGGCGGGACCCAGCATTGCAGCCTGAACTGAGAGCAAATTTAAATTACTGAGCCTTTTTTTTCCTTTTTTTATTTTTCTACTCTGCGACAAACTGAAAAGATTCCAGCACGCTAATTTAACCACCCTGCTTCTTCTTTGCCTTTTTTTTTTTTTTTTTTTTTTTTTTTTTTTTTTCTCCCTGCTTCTAGGATAATTAAAAGAGAAACCTGTAAAAGGCAACATTCCTGTGAGCGAGTTGGTGCTGCAACGTGCTGGTAAGAAAACGAGTTTAATTTTTTTCATCTTTTTTTTTTTTTTTTTTTTTGCTTTTTCTTTTTTTAAAGAGCTGAAGGCTTTGTCTGTCTAATGCAGTCATAAGCGTGGCTTCCCTGCCGTGAGGGGTTAGCATGTAATGAAAAGGTGTAATAGCCTGATGTACGACCTTCGTGTCATACTTCTAATGGTTAATAACAGCATTCCTGTCTACCCGGATGATGCTTCTCTCTGCAAAGGGACTATTTGCCCAGTTGCAACAGGGCTGAGATTGTCGCACTATGACAATGAGTTGTTGATTGTTTGGAGTTGCGGTGTCCTGTCAGAAAGATTTCTTGACTTTCTCCAAGTTACTCCCTTCCAGGGATGTTAAAGAGTTTTAATAGGTACCTTGCAGACCATAAGGGGTTTGCTGTTTACTCATCAAACAGGAAGTGCAATGATGAAACTTTTTTTTTTAAGGAACGCTAATTGTCCTAGACTTCCTTAGTTCAGATAATGAAACAGACTAAAATGAGTGCTCAGTAAAGTCATTTGAATCCCTTTCATGTGTAACTAGTCAGGAGTTCATTAGACGGCCAACTAAGAAGAACCTACATCATTTGCAGACCTTGTACTTGCGGTGCCAACTTTATTCTTCAAAAGGACAAATTTTAATTCAACCCAATTAAATTCAACAAGTATTTCTGTGTATACTCTGCCTGGAACTGATGCTGAGAATGTGCTTGCCTGTTACTCTGTGGTGGGGGAATAACTGAAATTAGATAGTGTAAATTTGCAGCAACCAGATTTTCTTACTACCTTTAGCACTGACCAGATCACTTAAGACATTTCAGAGTGTGTGACTGTTGGCTATAAGATGAAGTTCTCAAGGTTACATATCCTACAATAGACGAACTTCCGTTCCTTCTCTGCTTGTAACTTTTGCTCATGTGAAAAATGCAGCTCTGGCTAGTATATTTTATATCACATCTTAATATTATAAAGAAGGAAAAAACACATAGGCATCTGTTTTTTCGTACACCAAACATGTCATTTGAAAATAGATCCATGTGTCAAACTTTGAGCTTATCCATATTTTAGCCTCAGAAGGAGGAAGACACATGGAGAGGTTTAGGCTTATCAATGAGTCTGCTTGGATTTGGGTCAAGAAACTTAGGAACTACAATTTTCTCTGTTTGTTCGGTTGTTTGTTTTCTTTAAAACCACATGTGAAACAGCAAGGAATAGATTTTGCTGTCCCACCATTGTTCTTTGTAAACTGGTGTAGTTTTTATTTTTTTATTTTTTGTCTTTTGATTTTGAATAGATCACTAGAAATGTAATGGGAAAGTGGTCAAAAACAGAATGTAGTTACCGAATGTCCATTAAAACCTTTTTCTAAAAAAAAAAACAAAATCAAAAACAAAAAAACTCCTATGGATTTTGAAGGTTGCATGCCATTTGCATCTTATAGAGAAAGTGGCATTCCATACGCTGGTAACATTTGGTCTCCGGTCTCTGTAGCTATTCTATCTAATTGTGTCACTCTACATTTAACAGCTCTGAACATGCCATGCCCCTGGGTCCTCACCGGTGCCCCCAGAGCTCTTGAAATGTCTAAAAAGACCTTAGAACATTACAAAGTGTCAATTGTTAGAATAATTTCTGCCTCTTTACAACAAGAGAAAATGCTGTGGATTTAATAGTTCATTTTTAAAGTCTGTTCTTATCCACCAGTAACTGTCTATTAGCAACATTTCCGTTATAATTGGAATAAATTGTTGCCCAGTAACAAGCAACTAACTCCTTAGCGACTTTCCATAGAATCAGTGACTAGAAATAGCTACAAAGAGCTAAATGCAAGTCAAACCACAGCACTTGTGTTTTTTTATTATGGGAAAAAATTATTTCTTTATAATTTTACCATTCTATTAAATTCTCAAATTTCCAAATTGGGGTGCCTCTTCTTTGTAATTTTCTAATTGACCAAAATCCCGTACATGAAAAATAAAGGCCAACAGATCTTTGAAAATTTTTCTTTCTGGCTTAACGTAAGAAAGGATAAGCACAACCTCTCAGACTATGAGTGTTAACAAGATTCCGAGCCAGCAACACCATTAAATGTGAAGAACTGCCATCATCTTTTGCAGAGCGCAATGTAAAATTAGGGGTTTCACTGTAGGACTCTGTCATCTGAAATAGTAATCAGTCCATAATACTATATATTGCTAAAGTTAAAATGATGCTTCCCCCATTAATAAAATATTGAATAACACTGAAATTATGTTAGTTAGATTTTACCCTGTTTTTTCAATAGATAGAGTCAGGAATACCCCCAGATCCTTTTACCTAAGTGTACATAATATCAGTATGTCTTTTCTTCTTTCCTCACTGAAGTGCTATGACATTACAGTCTCAGGAGAAATTTTCCTTAACAATAGTTCAGCATTTGCCATGAGCTCTTGCAGCATTTGGGAAGGATTTTCACCTTCTACTTGCACAGGTGTTGAAATACAAAATACCTTATGACGAGAATACACATTGTTATTTTACACACAGACATATGGACAAAAATATATATGACGCCAGAATAAACATTAAAGGCAACATGAAAGTATATGGATTGCTCCCTAAAAATAGGACATTTGACATTTGCTCAATTTATTATAAATGTTTACTGAGGATCAACTATGTGACAGGAAGTATGTCAGAATCTGTAGGGAACAAGAAAAACAAAAAAGCCATGTCTTGGTCATCAGGGGAATTACAATGTAGTAAGAAATGCAGCAGGTAGACTAGAAAATGTAATTTGATTGATTAGTCTATGATGACCTTAGCATTGTGTCAGGCTATTGGGATCAAAAAAAGTTGTAACTTTATTTCTGAGTATCTGGAGCTGGCATAATGTTTGCTTCTCTCATTTGCTTCAATTCTTTACCTATAGCCACACATGTTTTCCATTTCCTGTGTTTTTTTTAAAAAAAGAAATCTTATTGATATAAGTAGTCTTAACAGCTGTAATTTTTGTGTGTTTTTACTGTAAAATAAAAATGGGCAGGAAGTGCTGAAGAGGTATCAAGAGGTATCAAGTCCCATTTCTCATCACCCACTGCCTTTGTCACTCGTAATCTACTTAGACCTCTGTCCTCCTCATCTTTACACAGAGGAAATGACCTCATCCAACACTATAATTCTTTTATTCCATCCTAGTAGAAGATGGGTAGCTTTTAAGGAAAAGGTATGGTTATGGCGGGCTTGTCCACCTGCGGTTTAAACAAAATACAAGACAATTACCAGCTAACAAGCTCTAAGTCTTAACCTCTGCATTCGTGTTGAATCGATGTTTGGTTATACCTGCCCCATGATTTTATACCTTCGGCTCTCTTCATTATCATGTTAATGGCCCCAAGACTGTAGAGGAAAATTGCAACAGAATAGTACATGTACGTTGAGAATGCTGTTCTAGCAGCTGTTCAAATGCTTCTTACATGTGATCCAAGAAAAAAAAAGAGAATGTCTTTCCCCTTAAACAACATTGCATAATCTGATATTTCTGTGTACCTTTTAAAGTAGCACTTGAGCAATCTGATGAGCTTTCATTGATTTATACACCTGTGAAGTCACAAGAATCAAGCTGCAGAGAATTTCCATTCATACAAAAGTTTCTTGTGTCACTGTGACTCTTGCCTCCACACCTGGCCTTCACACAGGCCTTCAGATGTGCATTCTGTCACTATAGGTTAATTTACATTTTATAAAATGTCATATAAATGGAATTATGCAGTATGGATTTTATGTCTGGCTTTTTCATTTTGCGTACTGACTTTCTGATTCATACATGCTGTTACATACATCAGTAGATTTTTTATTGCTGTGTAGTATTTCACTATATAAATAAGCAAAAGTTTGTTCATCTGTTCACCTGTGGATGAATACTTGGGTACTTTCCATTTGGGAACCATTATAAGTAAAGCTGTATGAACATTCATGTGCAAGCCTTAATGTAGGCATAGGTGTTTCTCTCAGGTAAACGGCTCAAAGTGCTGGATCATATGGTAGAGGTATGTTGTATAAGAAAAAACCCCACAGTTTTCCAAAGTGGCTGTAACATTTGATGCTTTCTCCTGCAATGTTGGAGAATTCCAGTTGCTGGTTATCTTCGCCAACATTTTGTGTATTGCCAGTCTTTTCAATGTTAGCCATTCCAGTGGGTATGTAGTATTAACTCACTGTGGTTTTAATAAATCTTCCCTGAAATTGAATGATGTGGGGCATCTTTTCATGTACACATTGGCTTATGGTAAAGTATCTGTTCTAATATTTTGTCCAATTTTTATTGGGTTCCATGTGTCATCTTAATATTGAGTTGTAGGAGTTTTATTTTCTCCTGGATAGACACCTCTTTTCAGATATGTGTGTGGAAAACCTTTCCTCCCAGTACGTGACTTTCCTATTATTTTTAATGGTGTCTTTTCAAAGCACAACATTTTTTCATTTGAATTAATCCAAATTACCAATATACCACATACCAGCATAAAAATTTATTTCATGGTTCATACTTTTTGTGTGGACAAAGTGGAAATGCTAAGATTTTTCTCCTAAGTGCTTCTCTATAAATTTTATAATTTCTGTGTTCACTCACAGTTCTATGGTGCATTTTGAGCTAATGTTTATGTTTAGTATGAAATAAAAACCAGGGTTCAATTTTTTTTTGTCATATGGAGAGCCAGTTGCTTCAGCACCATTACTAAAAAGACTATTCTTTACCCTCATTTAATTACCTTAGTTTATTTGCCGAAAAATCATTTTCTGGGATCCGTCCCATGGATTTATACATTTATTCTTTCACTAATTCCACACCATATTGATTAGCTTTATAGTAAGTCTTGGAAACAGATACTGTATAT